TGTGGGAGGAAACCGGAGTACCCGGGGAAAACCCGCGGCTTTCGGCAGAGCGTTGACTTTTACTCTTTTCACATGGGGACTGGGTTCGAGTCGCACTGAGAAGGTACTTAGTGAGACTCGAACCTGCAGCCTCAGAGGTGAGAGGCAAGTGCACTACCTACTTGCTTAGCTTTATAAGCCTATAAAGCTAATTAGCATGTAAAATTACAGTGAAATATTGGTCTGAAAAGTAACAGAAACTGATACTTTATGTTCTAGAGGGAACCACAAGAGAACCAAGAGAAGCAGATAGAAGAAGAGAGGGACATGGTAAAACATCATTCACTAATAATACTATTATCAAATGTTGACTTCTTTCCCGTTTTTCCCGTTAAAAAATATAGAAAAGAAACTATACAATAAGTTCTTTGTATGTTTGCATGGTGATAAAATATAATAGGTTTTGTTTGTGGAAACACCACGTAAATTTATTACTGCAAAGCTTTCGATCCGTAAGCCCGGATCTTCATCAGTGCTAATAATATATTATTATTAGCACTGATGAAGATCCGGGCTTACGAATCGAAAGCTTTGCAGCAATAAATTTACGTGGTGTTTCCACAAACAAAACCTATTAAACTATACAATATTTGAAAATATAAACACTCCACACAATGTTATTGATAATGATTCGAACAAGAATATTGCGATGAAGATACGTCCAAAGAGGCCGAAGTTATATCGGCGAAAGGTATGGCTAGTTCAGACAATTGCGTAATTTGATAATATACGATCTCGCTTGACTTTCAAAAGTCATAAATCGCTAGGCCTACAATGTTGATAATGACTAAAACTATTGCGCACTGAACCGAAGATATGAACATACAAAGTCGCCATAGTATGCTCGCAATCCTATGCTCGCAATGCATTACATCGATACGTCATCAAATGTGCCTTTTCGCGACATATACGGACCTCTGGTCCTGTCATTGCTTCTACTACTGATTAAAAATCAGTAGATGCAAAAACTATACTATATGCTATATGAAGCTGATTAACATGGACTGTAAAGTAACACAAACTCATACTTTATGTTCTACTTTGTTTTTATTATAAGAAATGGAACTGGAAATAATTGGGGTAAACTATCATTCATTATATTGACATTATTTAAAAAATAGAAAAGAAATACAATATTTATTCCTTTAAAGTTTTATCACGCCAAAAACAAAAATCCTTAAAATTTAGAACTTTTTCATGGTTTTATCCAGCAGAACCAGTTGGCGTGCAGTATCTTCAGTATAAGCTTCAAAAACTCATTAATAATTCATGAAGCAATTATTCAATCTTGAGTAAGAAATTAGTCACGTGCATACGTCTTTATACCAGCTAAAGCACACGTTAACTAAAGACCATTGTTATGCAAACTATATAAAGATTTTCATATAAAGATTTTTATATAAAGATTTGACTTATTATGCAAACGTTTTTGAAGCCATTTAAAAAACGAGCAGGTCGTGTTTTATTAGGTCTAAAGCCACTCGCGCCGCGCGCTCGTGGGCTTTAAACCTAATAAAACACTCCTGCTCGTTTATTAAACAGTACTTAAAATACTCATTAAAAATTCATAAACCTTGTGGCAAATCATTTCAGTCATAATAGGTCACGTGGAGTGACTTTATATCTGATATAACTCATCTTCATTAGTATTATATAATTAATTTGTTCGTCCTAATTAGTATGATTATATAATGCACGAAAGACGCTGATAACAACTCAAAACATTTGCCAGAACAATATCGCTTTTTGCTCAAAAAACTTCTGCACAATATATAATTAGTCACCAATCTTTAACGTAGGCGGAACTGTCAGTAATTGTCTTTCGTGTCAGTAAATTAATTGTAAACCGCTATTGTATAGCACTATTCACTTTGTATCATATCTTATATCACTAGCACATTATTAATCTACCCGTCGAAGACTGAAGAATGGCAGTCAAAAGCTCGTAATAAATAAATCTTTTTAACCAGAGAACGTTTACACAATTAATTGAACTGTAGATGTTGTAAATTGCAATGACCTTTCAATACCAAGAGGTCCTCTCCCAAAAATATTTATTTTTGAAGCTCGACTACTGCTTTTCTTGTACTTTCTGTAGCAAGGCATATATTCAGAAAGGCATATATTCAGACAGGCATATATTTTAAAGGCATATATTTTAAAAACATATATTCAGAAATTTTGCATTAAGTCGTAATTGTACACTTATATTTTAGAATGGTCATGTAGTGAATGGATTTAGAACTTCACATTTTGTGTAGAGTTTCCACTATAGCACTCTGTTGGTTCCCACGAGTGCATAAATGATTGACATAAGTAAATTTTATGCATAAAGAAACTATTTAAGAACCTGCTTTAAATTCCCAAGAGCAGAAAATCGCGTACTTTACAAGGGGATGTTCTTAACTAAATTTTAACAGATGCACCTTGTCAATATTTTACGCATCATTACGTCTTGGTAGGGCATTCAATTTTAACAATGAGTGATTTCAATAGTTTTCGGGTTTTTTGGGACACCCTGTATATAAAATTTCCACTCGATAATTTCCAACAAAGAAACCCTTCTATTATTGCATGACAGGCCATCTGAAGAATGAAAAAATCAGTCAAAACACTGAGTGACTGGATTGCCATCCAGTCACTCAGTGTTTTGATGGAACCACATCTTGTTGACAAGTTGTTGGAACAGCATTGCTACAACTTGTTAATGGCACTTATTTTATTATTATATTGAAATTAAACTTGCACTCTAACGTAGATTTTATATTTTTAGGGAGGCAAAATTGCTGTGCGGTGGATAGATCCCGAAGCCATTACTGATATTACATTTTCAACAGCCACTGATATCTACAGTTATGGTATTGCACTATTCGAAATGCTCTTTCCTGAAAAACCTTATTGGAATTGGTGCAACGAAGAAGTGAGTATTGCGATGTATTCTTCACTCGGAAAAAACAGCGGCTTTATGAAGCATTATTCGCACATAGTTATATGACTGGATTATATTTGCAGTGTTTTTTATAGGTTGTGATATAGGTCAACCAAGGATATAGTAGACAAGTAATTAGACGGAACTTTTACTCGGCTGGTTTCGTAACAATTTTTATTAAGATTATAAGCAACGCCATGCATGTTTGTATACAGGTCTGCTTATTTACGCATGATTGTACGTATTTGAGGCATATGTTATGTTTTGCATAACCCAACACATAGGAAGCAACCATTTAGGTAAACCATATCATTGCATGTTATAGATAGCCAAACACATCATGGCCAGCAAACGATTTTTGGGTAATTTTTTGGGTAAATCATGCGTGGGTGTCATGAATCCTTCAGGGCAGGGTTAGGGTTAGGGTTAGGGAAGAGTTTTACTTTTGGATATTGATAACATATCTATCATATCACGTGAGTTGGACGGCTCCCCCCCCCCTTGAAACACGGATGCTATATTCCTCGGGGTATTCGTTCAAATCTTTCAGTTCGTAATTTGTTTTTAAAAGGTTAAGTTAATTCCCACTGACAAATTAATTCGTTTAAACTATAAATATTCTGTACAAACAGTGAGATATAAAATTGTAAAGTTACTTTAGACTATGTTTACATTATTCACAGTTAATTGAAAGTTAAAAATTGTCTATATGAAAAACACTACTATTGTACATCCCTAAAAAGAAATGTTTTAAGATGTCTCTTGAAACAGTCGACCGAAGACGAAGCACGAATCAGTGTCAAGTGGGAGCGAGTTCCACAGAAAAGGGCCAGCTCTCACAAAAGCACGATCGGCCAATGTCTTTCCGCGAGTATACCGCATTTCAAGGAGACCGCCTTGCATATCAGATCTCGGCGAATAGCAACAATCCTGTTTACGTGTTAACACATCACAAATATATTTAGGAGCTAACCCATGAAGCGCCTTGTAAACGATAAGAAGAATGTTAAATTACACGCGGTGTTTTACATGCAGGCAACCATGCAGTGAAGTTTCATCAATGTTGGTGTAATTTGGTCGAATTTAGGTATAAGAAAAACAAAACGAGCAGCCGCATTAAGTACTCTTTGTAGCCAATCGAGTTGATCTTTTGGAATCCCATAAAACAGCGAATTACAATAATCAATGTGGGACGTAATAAATGCGTGAACCAAGATTTTCGTGGAATCCTCCTTTAATTCTTATCTTATCTTGTCTTATCTTAAGTACTTTCCAATCTGTTAATATAATATGAACTCCGAAAAGTCTTGCTGCAAACCTTGCCAACATGGATGTCCATCGACATATGCGGCATATCGAACCATAACCAAAGATTATTGACTGTGTTCACCGGAGAAACGTTCACGTCACCC